TCTTGTTCTCTATGTTGATGATATCTTATTAGCTAGCAATTCAATAAATTTACTCAATGAGATAAAGCACCTATTGTCTTGCCATTTTGACATGAAGGACATGGGTGAAGCCTCCTTCGTTCTTGGGATACAAATTCATCATGTAGATCTCGTGGTATTCTTGGTTTATCACAGGCCACTTATATTGAGCGGGTACTTAAAAGATTCAGAATGGATTCATGTTCTCCTTCACCTGCTCCTGTACAAAAAGGTGAGCTGTTGTCAAAGTTACAGTATCCCAAGGATGATAAGAAGAGGGCTGAAATGAGAAAGATACCATACGCTTTCGCTGTCGGCAGCCTTATGTATGTTTAAGTGTGTACTCGACTAGATATAGCCTTTGCTATTGGAGTACTGGGTTGATACTTAAATGATCCAAGTCTGGATCATTGGAAGGCTGCTAAGAAAGTTATGAGGTATCTTCAAGGTACAAAGGATCATATGTTGACTTATAAAAGGTCAAATTCTCTTGAGGTTGTTGGGTATTCTGATTATGACTTTAAGGGATCAGAAGGTCTTGAAATTGTTGGCTTCTCGGATTCAAATTTTTCCTCTTGTCTGGATGATCATAAATCCACGACTGGCTATATTTTCATGTTGTCCGGAAGAGCTGTCTCTTGGAAGAGTGTGAAACAGACACTTACGGCAGTTTCATCTATGGAAGCTGAGTATATTGCTTGCTTTGAGACTATACGTCATGCTATATGGCTAAGGAAGTTGATATCTGGCATGCACCTAGTTGAGTCAATATCACATCCTCTAACCATTTATTGTGATAACAAATCTGCACTATACTATGCTAACAATCACAGAAATTCCAGTCGTACAAAGCATTTTGATATCAAACTTATGTTTGTGAAAGAGAAAATTGCTGAGTCTCAAACCCGTGTGGTACAAATTCCTAGCACGCAGATGCTTGCAGATCCGCTGACTAAGGGCTTACCTGTAGAAGTTTTTCAAAATCATATAACTTGTATGGGTATTGTGAATTCCTTTGATGCTCTAGTTTAGTGGGAGTTTGAGAACCTTTTATGTTGCAATTTCTCTTTAGGCTTTGTTTACTTCCATGAGTTATGTTCAGTTCAGTTAGATGCGTCTATATCATTTGTATCCCTATAGGATTCAATGATTCTATTGTGGTACGCTATGCATGTCACTTGTTTCCCCATAGGAATCAGTGATTTATGTTGTTATCTTATTGAACTGTGTTTGGAATAAAAAATTTCAAATTTTATTCAAATTATGAAATATCATATTACTTGTTTCCCCATAGGATTCAGTGATTTTGTGGAGTTTCATTTTCTGAATTTTGTTTGTGGCTTGTTTATACAACTTGATTAATTAATGCAATCCAAGTGGGAGATTGTTGGAATATTATTTATGAATTAGCATTAATTAATAAGCCCAATAGATTGGTCTTTATGATCTTATGTGGACCGTGATAGGTGGACCACACAAGTGAGCCCAATGGGCAGAGGCCCAACCCACAACCCAATAGCCGTCAGTTATTTCCTATCTCTTTAACTGACTGAGTCAGAGATAATAGATAATATAATTATTTAATTATTTAATAAGGCGGTTACCGATCTGATTTATATAAGACAATTAGTCGGTAACCGCAAATACACGACTCATTTCTTCTACTTCCATTATCTCTGAACTCTCTGAAGGCTTTGGGAACTTGTGGGTTGTGTGCCTGCCTATACTCGAGGTAATCGAGATTTCTCAAGCACTCATGAATTCTTTAGGTACACATGAATTACTTTATTCTACCATATTTATTATACATATGAATTGAGATATGGGTCTACAAGTCATTATTAAGGCCTAGAGTAAGGTTGAATGAAGGCAAATAATTTCAAAATCACTCAGATTTGTAGATTTGCGCTTAAACTAAGTAAACAAGACAACTTGCAGTCTAACATGAAGAACTAAGATTTTAACCAAACTGAAAAGCCTTTGGTTTTCCTTCATACAGATGAAGCAGCATTTGTCTCCTTGGAAATTTAGAAGACTTCTTTTGACAACTTGGAAATTTGCCAGATTCCACAATAACCTTGATGAGCTATTAGAAGCACTAATTCTAGACACATGTAGATCAGTTTCATTCCATGTACATACATGTTTTATGAAGAAATATGAATGATGATATTCTTGAATAGCTTTGCAAAGATCTAGCTTGTGACCATCATGGATGATAAAGTTCTTGATCTTCCAAATACTATGGATTAAAATAATAAATCTCTCCAAAAGATCAACTTTCCTATATCTAGAATAAGATGTTTAATGAAATCCTTCAAAGATTTCATGTAATTTGAGCAATCCAAGAAATTAGATCTCAAAGAAAAAGCGCCGAACCAAAGAGCCCTTGAAAAGGGGTAGCTGAAGAAAAGGTACGGTATGGACTCCTAAACTTGGTATCCAAAGGGGCATTTGTTAGTAGAATATCAGTGGTGCTTATGAAGAATGTTATTGGTGGGAATTGCTTCATGAAGAAGCTTAAAAAAAACTACTTTAAAGGAAGCTTAGGCTTCTAAAAGTAAGACCAATGAAGTAATTATCAAGATGATTACTGGCCATATTGCTAGTGAGAGACTTGTAATCTAATCTTGAACTGTAAGAGTCAGAGCTGCACCCCTTCCATATCGACTTATCTTATTGTCTTAAGAAAGAGATAAGGATAGAAGAAATAGCTTGACTATTTGAAAAGGATAAATTTGTTATAAGGCATTGACATCCGTTGTAGTGGAAACCAAAGAGAGTTAGTAGAGGAGATATGATATTAGAGACTTTGAGATGGATAAAGTTAGAACTAGATGGAAGAGACCCCTCCTAAAATCAATTTGAGAGCTTAATATTCCTCCCAATACCAATGTTTCACTTTAGTTGTCTAATAATGATGTCAAAACAACTGAAAATAACTTCCATATCCATGATGTCTTATGGGGTTTCTTGATTAGAGCTGGTATGTTGAAATCCACATACTTTCTTTTCATAGAGGAACCCAGAAGAGAATCATTAGGGGCTTGGATCAACCTCTATATTTGCTTAGCTAAGACTTTTATTGACCATATGAATAGGTCTCCGCCCTATACCTCCCACAAGCATTTGGATAAGAAGAGGAAATCTTTGATAGATGCATCTTTTTCTTTCCGTCTTGGATATCCCAGAAAAAATGAATACATTTGGCATCTATCGTGTTGCAAATAGACATGGGTAATTTAACACAAGAAAGTTGATAAATGTTAACAGCAAATAATATTGATTTGATAAGTGTTAACCTTGAAGCTTGCGAGAGGGTAGAGAGATCTTCCATGATGCCAATCTTTTATCAATAGCTTCCTTAATTTGAGAAAACAAAACAGATTTATCTCTACCTAAATCAACACATGTCCCAAGATATTTCCTAGGTTTTTTCAGCCAAAGGAAAACCAAGACAGCTCGCCCATTCTTCTTTAAGGAAATCACAAGTGTTAGGGTAGGGCTCACAATGAGAAAAGATTTAACATGGTTAATCTCCTGACCAAAAATGCCACAAAATTTCTTCAAAGTATTCTTAAGGGATTCCAAGTTGTTCCTTGTACATTCAAAAAATAATAAGCAATCATTCGTATACAAAAAATGAGAAATAGGCTTTGCATATTGACATATCTTGATACCTTTCCATACTCATATTTGTTCTTGAATCTAAATCAGACATGGTAAAATAACATTTGCTGTAATGATAAAAAGATAAGGAGATAATGGATTTCCTTATATGATTCCTCTAGTACGCTTGATCATCTCCGAAGATTGCCATTGAAAAGAAGTTGGTATTCAACAGTAAAAATGCATTGGTGGATTAGATTAATCCTTTTTTTTTTTTGGGAAAAGCACATCTACAGATTCCAATATTTGACACTAATTAATCTGGTTCATCCCCCCCCTAAAAAAAAAAACCTAAACCAAACCAAACTCATAAACGTCATTAAAAGTGTGTAATTTGAGCATGCTAAAGATTCTTTTTGACCATAATAATTAGAGTTGCACAAAGAATAGGATGGCACTGAATTTTGGCTTAACCCAAAGGCCGGTCTCTTTAATGAAAAGAACTAGATTAGGCAACCTGTAGTTCAGTATTATCTAGTGATAATCCAAAAATTAACAGGAGCAAACTTGATCCATAGGACTGAGAGATTGGTCCTATTAGTTCAGTACTCATTTAACTTTTTTTTTCCTCTATAAGAAGCAATAATCCGTTTCCATCTAATAAACTAAATTAAGATAATAAAAACATTTATAATAATAATAATAATAATAATAATAATAATAATTCATAATCATTTTCAACAATAAAAAAAATTTTCTATTATAGTCTAAATGATTTAAATTTATAACTTTAATAAAAAAAGCACTCAACAAACTTTAACAACACTATATTACAACAACAATTTAGAAATAAACTCAACAAATCTTTATACAATTATTTCCTTAACATCAATTACACTTGAAGTATTTGTTAAAATAAATTAATTATAATTATAATAAATAAATTATAGGACTGGATTAGATCAAGTAATCCGGATGTCAATTCTCTTATTCAGTCCAACATGAAGAAATAATTTGATTTTTTCAATCTTTTTGGTCTAATGTCTATTCAAATCAAATAAGACTAAAATAATCTCAAGTTAGATTGAGCCAAACAGAATTTGAAAACTTTTGTACAACCCTAGTAATAACGCATCCAAATAATACATGGAATAATGGAGTGAGGACTGTAGGCCTTCAATCACGAGCCCACAAACTCCACCAAGAAATATTGGGTTTCCATTGTCTTCTCACTGGGCCAATCGACGATCCAAAACTGTTCGGCTCCGTCCCCACTTTCCCGTGATGAAACGGCGCGAACCGCCATAAATGAGCCAGAGGTGGACGTTTCTCAGCGTTCTCTCTCTATCTCAGTATCTCTGCTTCATGGAAAATTGGCGGTTTTCATAGTTCGAACCTCAGGCTCAGCGCATCCTTAGGAAACCTTCTAACTGCCAAAATATCTCATCAATGATTCCCACTTTCGTCATTTCAACGAATTTTGATCTTCCTTTCTTCTTCTTTTCTTTATCGCTTTTAGGACATCTCTACAATGTTTGCTCTTTTTTTACGAACAAAGGAAGACAACTAATTGTGGCGCTGGATTTTGAAGATGTTCGATGGGAAAGTTATCAATGATCAAGTTACCCCACAGGATTCAGCAATGATGCCTCTAACCGCCATGGCTGACGCCTTCGACGAGCTCGCAAAGAGGCTCAAATGTCGGTTAAATGGGTCCATGGGACAAGAAATGCTTCGATTGGGCAACTTCTGCCAGGCTTGCTTTCTGGTATCTTTTCTCTTTAATTGCCTCGGCCTCGCTTTCAAGTTCGCTGAGCTGGAATATATCGCCAAGGTTCGTGGTCCTTTTCTGTCCTTGTGTTTATGTTCTTGTTGAGCATTTAAGGTTCTTTTCATAGATTGATGGATGAAACCTGACGAGTTTGAAGTGAGAAATGTGTACTTGGCTGTACTGATTAAAAAAAAAGGGGAAGAAACAAAAGAAATTCAACTTGTTTGGGATCGAGAGGTGATTATGAATACAAGTGTCGAATTTTTTCTGCGTATTTATGTTTCTTTCTTTTCCCTTTCTTCTTTCTTCTGTGGATTTACATGATGATATTTGAAATGGTGATGAATGTGGGGTTTTTTTCTTTTTCTTTTTCTTGTGTCTTAACCTGGAATCAGAAAACATTACATTGAAAGTGATCTCTGGCACAAATTCTGTTGAATTTTTTTTTTTTTGGGGATCCAAACGGAAATTCAGGTGCATGGTGTGATGGCGGAGTATTGGTATATTTTGCACTGTGAAGTGTTTTGGCGCAACATTTGAAATTGTTGGACGTTATCTTTGCCACTTAATGAGGTGTTATGACTTGTAACTACTATATCTATTGCGATTGGCTGCCAACTAATATGATTATTTATATCGACAAGTTGCAAGAGGACTTTGTATAACTTGGTAGTTTAACAATCAAGCATGTGGTTGTTAGAAAAGGCAGATATGGAGCTAAGGGTATCTTTATCCATCAACATGCTGAATAAACAAGGCTCTTGTTTTGTCCATGCCCTCATTGCATTATGTTTACTTCCGCATGTTGCAATCTACAAACCTATAGGCTTTCTTTTTTGAATTTTTGATATTGGTTTTAATGATTTGATTGATATATTCAGCTACATGCACTTGTGGAAGCATCGAAAAGATTTGACACTCTAGATGATATTCTTGATCATGATATTGCACATGATACGGTCAAAACAGCAGGAAGCTTTTCACGTAATCTGCGTAGAGTTCGACAGGGACTTGATCTCATCAGAGCCATATTTGAAAATTTTTTGTCTACTGAGTATGCAAACACCTTTACAGATGTACTTTTTTACAATTCAGAATATGCCTTTTGGCCTGCAAGATGCATATAATTTGTTTGATATGTAATGTACTCCTCTTTTTCCGACTTTTCAAATTGAAGAGTACTTCTGGAAAAATTTTCAAGATACAGATGGGCATTGCTATTGTCTTCCTGACAGCTCCTTCCATGAATCTGCAGTCTATCATTGATTTCTGTAAATCACAACTAACAAGAACTGTCTCAATGGAAAAGCTTGGAAATTCTTCAATCTAGTTTTTATATTATTTGCGGAAAGCTCTTACTCTGTAGAATACTGTTTAACGTCATAGAGGAATCTCTCTTCTCAGTCAATTTATACTTCCATTGTTTTACGACAGCATTCGTGCTTGAAAAAATATTTTCTGAAGCTGATACTTCAGCTTTAAATGTTTATGTCCCTGTCTTGTGAACTGTCTTAAAAATGATTTTGTAAATTAATCATATCTTCTCAGCACTGATGTTTCATTTAGTATAGATAATTGTGAAAGCTGTCTTCCATGCATTATACCATTGTATGGTTCTCCCCGCTCCTTCTATATGGGCATGTCTGTCTTTTCTATTATAACTTTATAATTATTAGTCTCCAAGTTGTTTTGGACAATGTATAAAGTAATTATTAGTCATAACAATTCAAGTTAATTCAGTGTCCTGTGATTGATGGTGACATCTGATTTATGATTTTCTCATTTTCAGTGATAACTCCTTGAGAGAGGTAGCTTCAACAGCTTATGCACAGGTTTGTGCACCATATCACACATGGGCTGTAAGAACTGCTGTAGCTGCTGGGATGTATACACTTCCAACAAGGGACCAACTGTTGGAAAGGCTCAATGAAACAGGTGAGGCTTACATCAATGTTATTATCATGTATGGTGCATATCTTGTAGGAAGTTTATACACACAGACTGAATTATCTAATATTTGCAGCTACCTTTTGATGTTATTCATGGTTCAAACATAAAAACTTAAAAAGTTCTATTACAAGGCATGGCCAATTAAAAAGTCTTTGTTTGAATTTTTGAATTATCCATATGGCTCCAAGAAAAGCCATAACTTTTCCATTTTTATAGTAACCTTTGTTTGGATAGAGAAAAAATAAGGGGGAGAGAATATTTGGAAGTCCGTCCTAGCATTCTCCTCCCTATCCAAATGAAGCCTAAGGTAAATTTAAATTTTTAACAATGGTGAGAAGGAGAAGGAAGCATGAGTTAATCCGGATTTTCTCTTTCCTTGGGTTTTCCTCTCTATTAAGAACAGAAGAATGACAGGTTTACACGTACTCTCCAAAATCCTGTTATTTTTGTAGTTTCCCTGGTTTTGGCAGTGAACCAATCATTAATAATTTCTTGTCATTTTTAGAAATAGTATATTGATAAATCGAATAAATATAATTAATTGTTGAATTTAAAAAAAAAAAGCAAACTTTTAAGCTTTTTTTTTTTTCAAATACATATTTATAGGGTTGCAAAATCCTCGTGGGACTGTGCATTTGCTTCCCTCTCTTTTTTCAGTCCGTTGAATTGCGTTCTCTCTCTGTCTCTCAACCACTGACCTACCCTCAAAGTAAAAGTTTTGACATGCCTATGGATGGAAATCTTTATGAAACTTTTCTCAGTTATATTTCCTTTTAGTGTGGGCATTGTAAGCAGTTTTCTGTGTGGCTTAGAATCCTGAAGCTATGGTGCTTCAAATCTTTCAGCACTTGTTTTACTATGAGATAAAATAAATTAAGCCCGTTTTATGTAAGAGCTTCTTGATGCTAAGCTTAAAGTCCATTTTGACTCTGTACTGATAACATATTTACATCTCCTTTTTCCAATAACTGTGTAGGTAGCCACTTCTTTGTAAACACTACCAGCTAGGCTCCATGTCCATTTTGCTTTTTAACTTCAATTTTTTTCTCCATATCAAACACTGTTATTGATATTTCATTTTTATTTTTAAACAGTTTGTTTTCTGTCATTCTATTTTTTCCATATAATTTTATATTTCATGATATTGTGTGACATTTTTTCAAATTCTAACATCCTGTGCAATGGCCATCATATCTAGTTCTGTAATAGTTAATTTTTTTCTGTGATGTTAAATGTTAAACAATATCGGACTTGCTTTCAGATTTTTATCAACAAAAGGATTTTTTTTTTTTACATTCTTTTTATGTGGTGTTTATGTCATCAATGGTGCTTGAAAGATGAGCTAGTTTCATAGACTTGTCGGTGGATATGATATGCTAAATTTTGCTTACCCTGAAAATTTTATGGTAAAATACAGTTTACTTTTGTTTAATTCACATGCGTGGACAACAATGCAAGCGCTAAGCTAGGAACTCAATTTCTTCTCCAATTTCTAATTTCTTTCTCAAACTCCATTGTAGACCACCAAAATTAAGCCATAATAGCATGGTTAAGTACTTGTGTGCTATGTTGTTGTTAGATTTTTTATCGAGACATAATGCTATGAAAAATGTTATTACAGATCAATCAGCTGAAAAGAAAATGAGAAGGTACATCAATGCCTCACTACCAGTTATAGAATACATCGATAAACCTGTACCTTTCTCGAAATATTAGACTGGATTGGTGAATTTTACCAGCTTTTCGCATGCAATAGAGTTTCTCAGTTTGTATGGCCGAAACGCCGAGAGAGAGAGAGAGAGATTCAAAACAAAAACAAAAAAGAAGAAAAAAAGAAAGAGATAGGAGACACTCTGGTTTTTTTTTTTTTTTTTGGGGGGGTCTTTTTGGGCGAGATACCCTGTGGTATGTTAGAAGACACACGATTTGGCTTCAGTGAGTAGCAGCAAGGTTTAGACACCCTTCAAATACTTGCTTCACCCTAAAGATGTAATCATGTTAGATTCTCATTTCTGCACATAACCAGAGTTACAGTTTTGTGTTTTCTTTTTAACTTTATCCTTTCTTTCCTTTTTAACAACATTATATATGTTATGGGGAACATCCTGATTCGGCCAATTCTTATGAATCAAAGCAATCAAGATATGAAAGGTGGATTCCATTGTGTAGTTTTTTTTTTAATTAAAGAAGAACAATTTAGGCTCACAAATTCAATTAACCATCTAGCCGTGCCAATTTAGAGAAGTTATCTGAGTGTGTAGTAAAGGGTTCTGTTTGAAAAGTAGTAATGTTAATTAATTTATATTTACATTAAGGGTGGTAAATACTTAAAGGGTATTTAAAAAAAAAAGATAAAGAATAAAGATTTTACAATTTGAAACACTTACCATGTAAAAGATTTCACAATTAGATTACTAACTTGATTGATCAATGTTTCAAATTTAAACTTTTGGAACAAGAAAGAGATGCTTGAGCGTTGGAGCAGGTTAATGCAAAGTGGCATGCAAAGCAGAGTTAGGAAGATATGCTTGTCCCTTTCGTCGATGTTGGCAATGAATTAACCTTTTAGACAAAGTCAGGCATAAAAGACTTGTTATCACAACAAACAACTTCCTCCGGAGTTAGTCCAATCCAATCCA